TCTACCTCAAATTTATATACTTCGAGAAGGCCTTCGGCAGCGTTGGCCATGAAGAAATTTGGAAACTACTCGAGTACTACGGCGTCCCCCAAATATTCATCAACCTAAATCAACAGCTGTACAACAACGGCACATGTCAAGTGATCCACAACGGAAAACTCAGCGAGGCGTTTGGAGTAAACACAGGAGTCAGACAAGGGTGCTGGCTTATTATCACCAATGATATTCCTAATTGTGGTGGGCTGGATTATGTGTTAGGTAGTGGGAAACTAGAAGACAGGGATATCCTGTACCGACCAACTTGAAGAACCTAGAAGATCTGGATTTTGCGTGCGGATGATTTATGCTTGATGTCACACAAAATCGAAGACTTACAAGCGAAAACCGACAAACTGGTCGAAGAAGCAACAAAGACAGGACTCCAGGTAAATATAGACAAGACGGAGATTATGAAAATAACCAACCAACAACAGCAACAACATCCAACGCCAATCACCATCAACGGGGGGATTTGAAAGAGGTTACTTCTTTCACCTTTCTAGGGAACATTGTCTAACTACAGGAGGAACGGACGAGGATGTCAAATCGAGCGAGAATCGGGAAGGCGAGGAGCACATTTATCAACCTGAAACCAATCTGGAAATCTTCGTCACTCAGCCAGCATCAACAGCAAAGTCCAGTCGGATTTTCAATACAAAAGTCAAGTGAGTCAGTTCTTCTATACGGATCAGAAACTTGACGGGCGGCTCACAAAGAATATTTCCAACAGCCTGCTCCAGACCTTTATCAACAACTGTCTTCGCTCCGGACCGGACCGGAAAGTATCACCAACACGAAACTATGGCTCGGAACAAACAAAACAAAAAATAATCTCCAACCAACAAATATGCAGGAGAAAGTGAAGATGGATGGATTGGAGGCTCGCTGAGGAGGCCGCTGGGTGACATCGTGCTTGCGTCAGGCCATTGCTCAAGTGAAACCAGGCCAAAAGGGAAGCGGCGAGTGGGACGTCGGTGTACGGGTGACATGGAGGAGATCGTGTGAAGAGGAGTTGAAAGAGTATGGACTAACATGGATGCAGGTGAAAAGTATAGCAGAAGACAGAAGCAAAAGGAGACGTGCAGTTGAAACCCTATGTTCCACCAGGAACCCAAGGAAACAATGATAATATAATAATGTGTAATAGTAGTATTACGAAATAACGGAATTACAGGAAATCAACCAACAACACAGAGAGGGATAATTTAGGAATTTGTATTTGGCGGAATTATTAGTAATTCATACAACAGATATTAGCAAACACCAGTAAGTATTTACACAATACAGTGATAGGAATTGTTAATCACTACATCCTCCACTAAATAAACAAAATAAATAAATGTCTATCCCTCTACGGCCAAAGAAGAAGTAGGGATTGTACATACTTCTTTTGTACACAATATCGAATTCTATCTTATCAAATTTCACACCATGTTATGAAACATTTTATATTTGTCTACTAATCCTGTATTTATGTACCCCTTTCCAAAATCTATACACCTTATGTATCAATATGTATATATATATATTATATATATATTATATATATATATATATATATGACATTAATTATTTTGCCACTTGGCATTAAACTATGATTATAATCACAAATACTTTAATTGCACTTCATACTATTATTATTTCATATATTCACAGCTTTGACCTAATTCCTTCACCGGATATAATTTCTTTATAAAGCCATATATATACGATCGTACAGCTTGATAATAAATTAGTTGGAAAGAGTCTCTTCGCTGAATATTGTGTTCTTAAGTAGGAAGTTATCTACACATCTCTCTAGCTCGTCAAAATTCTTAGGACTCAATGATGCTGTGGTACTTTTTATTGTTCGTACAAAATTTTCTGCCATTCCGTTAGACTGAGGATGACGTGGTGCAGATGATGTGTACAGATGACAACAACCTATATGTCTAAGCAAAACATTGAAGTTATCTCAGTCAAATGAATACCGTCATCAGCGACTTAGTGTGGTGATTGACAATTTCTATCTATGTATTGTTTAAAATACTTACTGTTGACTGTTGATATGTTTCATATATGAATTGCATAATAATTCCGCTAAATACAAATTCCTGATTGCTGCCCTCTCTGAGTTTTGGTTGGATTCGTGTAATTCCGTCATCTCGAAATACTAATATTTCAAGTACAATAAATTACTACAAATTGGCGTCGCGATGGAGCTAAGTGACCTGGGAAAATTCCCCATTAATGGGTCTCCGCGGGAGATTGCTGATTATTTGGAATGCTTCGATGCGTGGTGCATTTCCAAGAATGTTCGGGATGACAAAATACCTGCTCATTTCATCACTGCTATTGGGCTTGAGGCATATAGCCTAGTGAAGAATCTGGCGTTTCCAGATAAACCCATTTCTCTGCCATATGCTAAGCTCCGTGAACTTCTTATAGATCACTTCCACATAACTACTTTTGAGACGCGAAAGAGGTCTCAGTTCAATAAACTGGTTCGTGCTCCCAACCAGAAGATTCGAGACTTTATTCTGCAGCTCCAAATACAAGCTTCAAAGTGTAACTTTGGAGATCAGCTGCATACTCAACTACGTGATCGTCTAATTGCTGGAATCAATATTCCTAAGTTAGAGAAAGAGTTAATTCAGATTCCTTCTTGTACTTTTCAAACTGCTAAAGATTTATTTATGACATATGAAGATGTCAATAATGAATACTCTGCTCCCACTATGTCAGTGTCTGATGTTATGCTTTCTAAAGTCGAAAATACAAGTGTTCATGGAAAGAAATCCAAACTGCCGTCCACAGGTAATAGAATGCAGCGAGAGATCAAAAACATTAAACCATGTTTATCCTGTGGAAAGTTACATCTACGAAGCACTTGCCGTTTTCGGGGTGCTAAGTGCCATAAATGTGGTAAAGCTGGACACATCAAGACGGTTTGCAGAAGTTCCAATACTTATGTTGCTCAACATTCTTATAATTCTCCCAAGCTGTCTAGTAAAATGGAGTCAATGTGTCTTTCAACCTTTCAAAATACTCAAGCTCATCCAATGAAAACCTCCACTACAAGTTCGGCAAGTCAAGTGTCAACTGTTTTCAAAAATGAGGTAGCTGAGTTACAATGTGAACTGTCGAAAACACGAAAAGACCTGAATGAGATGAGAGAGCAACTGATTAAAATGCAGGAATTACTGCATATGCATAGACTGCGTCTGTCAAATGCAGAGCATACAAGTACCCGTGAAAGTCCTGCAAAACTATTCAAATCTCGAATTCTCAAAAAGCATCTGATGTCCACTACTTCTAATGTACATTATTACAAAGGTAATGACTATAGACCTTCTGTTGGAATTATACTACAAAAAATGGGAAATCGAGTGGTGAAGATATTAGACATCAAAGATCACTCAGTTCATGACGGACACCTGGATAAAGTGACAATAAATGAAGTAGGTCGTTCCAATTATGATATTATTGATTCCGCTAATAATCCTGATTTTGTAGATAATTCAGAAATAAGTCCAGATAATACTGATGAAAATGATATCACAGAATCAGTTAGAAGATCGCAGCTACTTGCAAGCAAACCGAGACATCGTTATAAATACGCAAGGAGACATTCGACGTGTGGCGGATGTGTTGATTGACAATTTCTATCTATGTATTGTTTAAAATACTTACTGTTGACTGTTGATATGTTTCATATATGAATTGCATAATAATTCCGCTAAATACAAATTCCTGATTGCTGCCCTCTCTGAGTTTTGGTTGGATTCGTGTAATTCCGTCATCTCGAAATACTAATATTTCAATTACAATAAATTACTACACTTAGACATCTGGAATTCCTTCTCGACTAAAAATCTTCCTCAAAGCTGTGTGAGTGAATTTTGCGTTAGGACTATCTGTAATTATTACTTCTGGCCATCTAGAATAAGAATTAAGGCATACTATGAATTTAAGGAGGGATCGCAGTGATCCTCATGAATACGTTTCCAAACCTCACATGATGCAGGCCATGGCTTCCACGATGACTCCCCATAGGACATTTTATACAAACGACTGGAACAGCACTTTCATCTTTTTCTAATATCAGCATCAGTTTCCGGCCACCAGCATGTTAGGCGTTCTAGTGATCTCATCTTATCAGCTCCCAGATGAGCAGAATCAAGATCATCTAAAATCGCAAATCCTCATGTTGGAGGAATAATGATTCTGTCATTCAGACATAGAAATCCCTCAGGATGAACTGAAGTCTCATCTCTTTGCTTATAAGAGTCTGGAAATCTTCGCTTACACTGAACATTCCAACCTCCTTTTGTTGCATTTCTAATGCATCCATAATATTTCCGAGTATCGTTTATAGGTCGAACTCTATCCACAGGTAACGCCTGGACTAACAAACAATCAGTATCATTAGCAGCATTTTCAAATAATCAATAACGAGATAAGAAGTCTGCATGAGGTATATCCTTTGCCGATCTCTGTTCAATAGTGTAATCATATGCACTTAATTCTAAACTCCATCTTTGAACCATAGCAGCAGATGATTTATTCAAAGATTTTTCTGGATTGTAAATGAATTTCAAAGCCTGATGATCAGTAACTATGTGAAACTTAGTACCAAAGAGATACTTGTGCAAGCGTCTTATTGCCCATACAACTGCTAGAGCATCTTTCTGGGTTTGTCAGTACCCTTGTTCACTCTTACTCAGACGTCTTGAAATACAAATGACAGGTTGTCCATTTTGCTCAAGTACTGCAGGTATACCCATAGGAGAAGCATCTGTAGTGAGAACAGACTTATCTTTCGACAAAAAAGGTCTTAGGAAAGCTTGTTTATCAAGAAACTCCAAAGTTTTTCGCAAGATATTCTCATGTTGTTGTTCCCACTTAAACTGTTTACTGGAGACAATCTCAAAAAGTGGAGATAACCGTTGAGTGAAATTGGGAATGAATCTGGAGTAAGACTAAAGAGTACCAATCCATGATCTCAACGACGACATATTATTAGATGAAGGTGCTTGAATTAGAGGTGCCAAACGACTAGCATCAGGTCTGAAACCTTCGGAGTCCACTGTGTATCCCAAGCATGATACAGGCGACAAAGTGAAATGACATTTAGATGGATTAACAAGAACATTATTCTCACATAAACGTCTGAACAGTTTTAAAAGACGTTCATTATGCAATTCGATATTAGGACCATGAACTATAATGTCGTCTTGGTATGACTCAACACCATCTAATCCATCTATCATCCGATTTATTACATTTTGAAATATTGCGGGTGAAACCTTTAAACCAAAAGCCAAGAACTTATACTTGAACAATCCAAATGGAGCATTAATCGCTTTTAATGCACTAGACGCCTCGTCAAGAGGAATTCGCAAATAGGCATCTTTTAGATCTATTTTGGAAAAGTATCTTGAGCCATGTAGCTTGTAGAGAATGTCTTCAGTTTCTAGAGTAGTGCAACTTTGCTGTAGTAGACGACTATTGAGTGTAAGGCGGTAGTCACCACAAATTCTAGGTGTTTTTCCATCAGCCTTTAGTGGCGTAACAGTAGGAGTAGCCCAATTTGAAGACTCAACTGGCATAAGTATGCCTTGCTCAACCAACTTGTCTAACTCTTTCTTAACTGCATCTCGAAATCCATATGGAATTAATCGGCGTCTCAGGAAGATAGGATCACCCTCTATTTCAAGATGGATGGGCTGAATCTTCATGCCACCGACACTATTTGAACATTGGAGAAGTAATTCTCTGAACAAAGATTCATCAAACAACCCAGTATAAAGTGAGATTTTGACATTTAACAACCTTAGGGCTTTTAACCTCAATAAACATGGGCCATATTCATTAACAAGAAAGGAGACATTCATAAATTTACCACTGTCTGATTTCAAAGAAATGTTAGTAGCACCAATAAGAGGTAGTTTATGACCAGTAATACCTGTGATAGAACTAGTGGTAATGTATATCTGAGCATGCTTACTGTTATGTACTCGTCGAGTAGTTAATAGTCCTGACGCGGAAAGGGGGAAATCAGAAGACCACCAGGTTTACGATGATACTTGTATTTTTCAGACAAGGAAAATAAATGTCACACAAGTGTGTGAGTGGAAGGGTACTTAGATGTACGAAATGTGTGTGAACCAGAAAAGTGAACAAGTGTCTAATACAAAAGTATATATGGAAATGGCTAATACACATGAACCAATAAGATAACGTCTTACCAAGATCGGTTGTAATGTCATGTGATAACAAGGCCATACATTGTTTATCTAGTTAGTGGACAGACAAAAGCATACTGTCAGTTATAATGAAATATCGACCCATTTACATATAGCAAAATATAATAGACTGTCAAAAACAAAACACACACATCATATGGGTACATATCACCTCCCCTTTATAGAAGATTGATGATTACTAGCGTGCTTTCTTGGGGTTTATCTGGATCCGTTCAGTTTGTTGTCGACGTCTGTTGCTTCGTCTGCTTGTTTGCGGCTTCTGCTTTGTCTGGAGTTGTCTGAGCTGCGCACTTTTGCTTTTCTGTTTTGTCAGCCGTAGGTAAGTTAAAAGTATCCAAGAGAATATCCAGAGGTAGGGATGACTGTGTACTGGTAGGGATATTTGAGTTTTGTGGACGCAACTGATTGTAGTGACGGGTCCATAAATCATTACCAACGTTCACGTCGTACATAACTCGACCACGTTGTGCCGCGATGGAACCTTTATTCCGAGGTTTATGTCCTGCTCGATAGTCGCGGACATAGATAGCGTCACCAACATCAAATTTTTTTATTCCGAATTGATGCGTCGGTACGTTTGGGTGCCGGTGGTAACATTGAGTTGTGAATCGTTCTAAGTTAGCGTCCGTTAAGAATTTCTGCCGGCGATTCCTTGTTCTGTGTTGACTCATTCGCCGTTGTACGGTACACCATCAAGCATTTTTGGATGATGTCAAATAGTGTCCGCTCTCTATCTGCTTTGAGTAAGGCTCTCTTCAAAGTGTAAACAAAACGTTCCGCTTGGCCGTTTGACTGGGGATGATACGGCGGTGTGAACATATGCTGGATAGCATTTTCACTACAGAACTGCTGAAACTAATGAGAGGTAATGTCAGACAGGTTTCGTAAACCGTTAATGCCCAGCTCTTGCTACGCTCGGGCTCACGCTGTTCCTTGAAGTTTCGCAGAAACGCTTAGTAATAACGGACGCATAAACCAAAACACCGATTGGCCACTCAAGAATTCTTTATTGTAACACCAACATATAAAAAATGTTTCCACTAAGGTCTGTGAACAAATAATACAATAATAAATCACAATATTACTTCTGACGGCTTTTTTACTCTTCTTTCTGAACAGCGACCGATGAGACGATGACTGTCGTATTGATGCCTCCGCGAAAATTGGGGAAGTTGATTTTAAGCAAACAACCATGAGTTGATCGTTCAATCTTCAACTCCATTGACACTCCCCGGCAAAAAATGGATCCAACCCTTTTTCCTTCACGACCAATACACGTTGACTTGGATGCCATTGCGAGAACCTGGGTCACTCGGACAGAGCTGAAATGGAAAACAAACAGAAAAGTCAACACACCACAAGGATACTCATAGCACAATCTCACACATCATTGACGACCTCCGCCTTCCAGTTAGAGGTGTCCTCTCGACATCTTGCAACACTGTCTCCACTTGCTAGAATGACTCTTGAAGAATGCAACGTGACCATAGCAGCACCTCACGATACTCTACACACATCCTCTTATCTACTCACCACCAATTACCACTGAAATCGCTTGTCACTCATTCTGCCTCAGTTCTAGTAACGGTGACGAATGCGAGCTTCAGTCGTTTACACTCTCGCTCCCCGGCGTGTGGGACCACAGCTAACAATTATCTCCGTGTGCATTTCATTCTCAGAAATAGCATAGCCTCCCCGGCGTATACGACCCATCTGCTGTCTCTAACATCAATCAATTCATTCACGGATGTAGAAGACAAGAAACAACTTCAGAAGTAATCACGACGAAAGTTTTAACAAAATTATGCAATAAAAACAAGGTACGAAAACGACAGGTACACACAATTAATCAAAAATCACAAATTGAGAAGACACACCACACGTATACACAAACAGTACAAATAACCTCGCGGATCATGTCTTGGTGGAATTCCTTTGAAGAATTGCAGGACTTACACCAGTACGCATACAACCCTTCACAGGTTGACGATTGTAAGCTGTGGAATGTCCGGACATAAGCAAGATTGACCAAGAATTGCAATAATTTGAACCCACACAAGTATTTAACACAAACATATGTACAATCAACACATCAAATGTTGTGCATTCTGGCACGACGAACTACCCTTGAAGAACTGTAGGACTTACAGCAGTACGCCTACATTCCTTCTCAGGTTGATGATCCAAGTGGAAGTCGTTCGGACAAAAACAAAATTACCAACAGCTAGATGACAGATGATATCAATTCAGTGTATACAATATGAACTTATGTACAAAATCACACACCGAGCACATTGGACTGCTCATTGATGCGCTACCCTTTGAAGAATTGTAGGACTTACAGCAGTACGCCTACAACCCTTCTCAGGTGGACGCCCTAGGTTGGAAAATCGTCGCAGAGTTCATTTGCTGACTTCCTTCTATGAGCTATATCCTCAAATCTGAACGGTAACACGCCCATGTCATTGTATCGTAGAATATAGATGACGAACAAACACACGACGTATCTGGTCAACCAAGCGTAGAAACAGAGTAATTTACACCAAAGATAATAACATTCAAATAGTAACTTGAAACTAGAAATGCCTTTATTCGTGCAAGTCAATTTAACAATTACTCTCTCGTTTACACTTGGCTTATCCTCACTAAACTGACCATTGATATTCGTCCTTTCAAACGCACCGATACTATCATAGTCATTGCATAAGGCACGTGAGTTCACGGACGTCCATTTCATTGTGGGTGAAAACACCAATGATGACTGAGTGACACAAGGTGATGAACTTAGCGGTGGATCAGAAGCTGTTGTTGCTCGGCTTTCAGATATTTGTCCAAATGCAGGATTACCACCACTGCTGTCTTTCACTACTAGTTCGGGTTTAGCACTATCATCTGATGATAGGTGGGCTGCACGCTGATTAATTACACTGACGGTCTGACAAGTATGTATGCCTTCTGCAACTGCATCTGCATTTATTTCTACTTCACGTTGTAGTTGTACAGAATCTTTAATTAACTTAGCAGTAGTAGGTATATCCCTCATCTCATCATGATCAACCAAAGACAACTGTGAAATATCATGATCATTATCACGAATATTCAATTTATCATCATCTATCTGGTTTCTTCTCACAAATCCTCAAATATTTTATACTTTCACTCTGACTAGTCTTACCTTAAAAACTTGTGGAGTCAGAAATGATCTCTGAAGCAATGACTCCATTCTGTGACACTCTATTCAACAATGGCTTACCAGTTGCAACTACAGACTTCTTGATTACACCGTTATCGTCACACAATTCGGAGTCAGACCTTGATTTCACACTTAGCTTATCACTAAACTTGCTCACTGATTCACAGCTTACCTTTGTATGCACCTCTTGCAAACGTGTAAAACATAACCGTGTTTGTCTTGCATCTTGTAACTCATCTGTTGAGGATGTACTACGAAACCTGTTACACTCACTAGGTCTATATGCATTACTATACATCATGGAGTCTTCTCGATATCCACCAATCTGAGGCCTGCTCGTCATCAATGATTGCGTTTTACCCTCAGACTGCTCTATTCTAGGGGTGAGATTCAATATACTGGCAAACTTGCTCATAGATTCATTGACACTATCTTTTACTAGTTTCAGGATATCATCAAATTTTGGCTCGATACCCTCATCCTCCATACGGGAGCTTATCTTCACCCACTTCCTTTGCAGTCGAGTAGGTAGGCGTCTTGCTATTACTTCTAGTATAAAACTCGAGTTGAGGTCACTCATGCAATTCATCGAAATCAATGTATTCTTGTAAGTCAACAGATTATTCAAAAACTCAGAGAGTGTCTTGGAGTCATCTTGAAGTTGACTGCCGTTACCTTTGACAGCTTAGAATACGTTCCTTACAATCATTGAAGGTCTTCCAAACCTTTGACGTAATATGCTCATAGCCTCAGCGTATCCCTCATTAGGGGGCGTGAACTTACAGCACTGTATGGCTCTTGCAGAAATTCCAGTGCAATACCTCATCAAATACATCAATTTCAATTCGTCACTTAATAAAAAGCTACTCAGCATGATCTCAAACTCCTTTTACAAATTGTAAATAATCAGCCGGGTTTCCATCAAAACATCGTGGTTCAAATTTAGGGAGTTTGATGTTCCTATTATCCCTGAACAACGAAACAGTAACATCAACCATGCCATGCTTAACATCAGACACATCGTTACAAGTAACAGACAAATCACCATGACTTACTTTCCTGTTTGCATCCAAGACGCTCTGTCCCTTCTTTGACCCAGGCATTGTTGAACTTGACTCAATTCCAAAAAAGTTCCAGATATTGCTTGTTCAAAGAGGACTTGACCGGCACCAGGAAAGATGAACGGTGACTATCCAAACTTTCACCAACTGTCTGAATCCGCCAGAATCTGTTTCTACCGTCAGAAACTGTCAGCCACGTCTCGTAAACCGTTAATGCCCAGCTCTTGCTACGCTCGGGCTCACGCTGTTCCTTGAAGTTTCGCAGAAACGCTTAGTAATAACGGACGCATAAACCAAAACACCGATTGGCCACTCAAGAATTCTTTATTGTAACACCAACATATAAAAAATGTTTCCACTAAGGTCTGTGAACAAATAATACAATAATAAATCACAATATTACTTCTGACGGCTTTTTTACTCTTCTTTCTGAACAGCGATCGATGAGACGATGACTGTCGTATTGATGCCTCCGCGAAAATTGGGGAAGTTGGTTTTGAACAAACAACCATGAGTTGATCGTTCAATCTTCAACTACATTGACAGGTAAACTGTGAACCATTGTCTGTAACTATGGTTTCTGGGAGATCATGATAGGAGAATATGTCAGTGAGAGCTTTGAGAGTCTGGGACGTTGTCGGCGAAGCCATTGGTACAACTTCTGGCCACTTAGAAAAAGCGTCTACCACCACTAAATAATATGCACCACTTGTAGGGCCAGCAAAATCAATATGAATTCTGGACGAAGGATGGGCTGCTGGTGGCCACCGTACGGAAGGTAGCCGGTGGGGTAGATTTGCTGATTGTTGACATTTTGAACATCGTTGAACAAGATCGATAATATGCTTATCCATATTAGGCCAGTATGCGTAACTGCGAGCAATAGACTTCATCCGCTGAATACCAGGGTGTCCCATGTGAAACTATTTCAGGAGTTTATTTCGCAATGCCTCAGGTATCACTATGCGTTCTCCAAACATCAAGCAATCTCTTACAACATATAAGGAATCGCGACGAGCAAACAGGTGTTCTAGGTCTCCACTATATTTAATCTTTGGCCAATTACTGGATACATACTGTGTAGCACGTCGTTAGGTGGCATCGGTGCTTGTAGTTCGCTGGATATCTGCAAACGTTACTGGTAGAGATCGAACAGCATTGTCAATGAGGTTAACTGCATAGTCTTTGGTGGCGATCGATGCAGTTACCATATCTTCACTTGATGCAGGATAGTCACTAACTAGCCGAGATAGAGCGTTGGCTCGACCGAATTCGTTAGTTCTGTTGTATTTAATATCGAAATCGTATCCAAGTAATATTATTGCCCAGCGTTGTGGTCGGTTAACTGCATGTACAGGGATACCTGATTTAGATCCGAAAACGGAAAGTAACGGTTTATGATCTGTCAGTAAAGTAA